GCTCGGGGCTGTCCGTGAGAGCCTCATCCCGCTCCAGGAGAGTCACGAGCGGCATGATATGGGGAAAGGTGGTGTTGGTCAGCGGCGGCCCTTCTGCAGAGAGAGGCACCCTGAGGACCCCGTGCAGCCCCGTGTCCCTGCGTCCCTCTTCCCATCTGCCCGGTGGAGGGCTCGCGTGGCCACCCGGGCTGCCACCGTGTTCCTCCCGGGAGAGGCTTTTAGGCTCAGCTGCAGCACAGCAGCAGCTGCAGCTCTGGAGATCGCTGTGCCTGGGGCCATCGCCTCGTTCAACACCAGCTCCTCCCAGATGAGCTTTCTGGTTGTGCTGGGAGGGGAACGCTGTTGTCCCTGCTTGGGCTGCATCCACGTTTCCTGGGGCTGCGGTGGGGAGCAGGTTTGCAGAGCCCGGGGTGCTGGGTGTTGGAGGGATGTGGCTTTTCATCTTCCCGACTGGCTGCTCTGTCCCCTCGGCTTGGCACGCACCGCCATGCAAGCGCGAGGTTTTGGCTCAGCCGAGTCATGTTTGTGCCCAGCTGCTGGTTTTATTTAGTTATGAAATGCTTCCTTGGGAAGCAAGGGGCAGCCGAGGCCAAACGGGCCCTGCCGGGTGCTGGGGCGGCTCAGCAGCCAGAGGGAAAGCATCTGGCACGGGCTGGGAGAGGGTCAGAGCTCTCAAACGCATCCCCCTCCAGTGAGGCCGTGCTCGGACTAAGTGGGAAGGAGCAGGGAGGCAAGAGAAGGGCAGTTGCTCCTGTTACCTTTCCCTTCGTTCAGGCTCTTCAGGAACGGCTTGAGCTTCTTCTCGTAGAGGATCGCGCCCTCCGTGTGCCGCTGCCGCAGCACCATCCAGGTCTGCTCCAGCCGGGCAATCTGAAAGCAGATGGGGCAGATGGAGGGTGCTGGGGGCAGTGTAGCCCCAGGGCACCAAGCCCAGGCTCCAGGGTGCTCCCAGGGGGCACAGCCCGGCCCTGGAGCCACCAGCCCCAGCCTTGCACGCAGCAGTGCCTGCTGCTCCCCAATACAGCCTTCATCAGCCTCACAGCCAGAGATGGCACATCCCTGGCACCGAGGCTGGGTTCAGAATTTGTCCCCCCTCCCCGTGCCCCAGGATGGCAGCTTCCCCGCTTCACAGCAGCCTTGAAGATGAGACGCAGGGAGGGGGCAGGCGTTCCACCTCTTTTGTGCAGGCAGGAAGCAAGACTTCCCAGCTGGGCTCGATTTAAAATTGAATTTTAATCTCCTTTCATCTTCCAAAGGGAGCAGTGTGGCCCGGAGACGCTGCTGCCACAGCCTTGAGACTGATTTGTATTGTACCGGAGGGCAGATTCATTTCCTCCCAGGAACACAGTCCAGCACAAAACAAAAAGCCCCAACCACCGAAAAACAATCGGATCCCAGCAGGACTGGGCTGTCTGCTCTACGGAGGGGAGAGCTCTTCCCTGTCCCTGCTTACACCCCAGCAGACATGGCCCCACACCTCTCCCTGGACATTTTCCCCCATTTCACACTCCACTGGGTGTCAGAGCCCACAGGATGTGGGGAGAGGGATGTGTTTTGGGTGAGGGGGCTGAGCCCAGGCCATGAGAGCAGAGGGACCGTCCCCATACCTGTGTCATTTCCAGGGCGTTCATCACAGCTGCAAAGCTGAACATGTTCCCCATGGTGCTCTTCAGCTCGGCAGCCAGCTGGATGGTTTTGTGGAGCAGGGCCGCCCGCTCCTCCGTGCTGCCCGTGCAGCCCAGGATGTCCACGGCGATCATGATGGACATGGTGTGAAACCTGCCACGGTGTGAGACACAGACCGGGGTCAGCGCGGGGAGCTGGGGATGCTCCCACCACTGTCCCAGTGTGGGGGCTCAGCTGGGGCTCCTCCACCCTGGGAGGTGAAGGGACCCCACCCCATGCCAAGCTGGGGACACCCTGGGGAGCTATGCCGTGCAGGGGAGCCCAGTGCCATGGCATGCTGCGCCGTACCGTTCCAGCAGGTCGAGCCGGAGCTGGTGGCCATGGGGCAGGGTGAGCAGCTCCATACCGGAGCTCACCCCCATGAGCCGCTGCATCTCTGCCGTCACACCCAGTATCCGGGCAACCTACCATGAAAGGTGAGAGCTGATTAGACCTTTGTTAATTGAGGAGAGGCTGAAGTGGCCTTGGGCAGCCTCTCACCCCAGCCCAGCCTCTGCCTGCCTTGGCTGATCCCCCCAGCAGGGATGCTCCAGTTCTCAGGGATGCTCTGATGCTGGGGGGTGCTCCAATCCCCCACCAACCCGGAGCGCTCAGAGGGCAGCGGTGCCCGTCCCTCCCGCCTGGCCCCGGCCATACCAGGCAATCCACTTTGGTGATGTGTTTGGCCAACGTCTTCACGTCCACCTCTGCCAGCAGCTCTTTGACCTTCCTGAGCACCGCCATCTCCAGGGGTTTGTTCTCCAGGGGGATGAGGAGGGACTGGAAGGCTGCAGGGTTGAAGGAGGAGGTTGTCTCCATGATGGGGGGCACAAAGCCCACGAAGTCCAGCTCTCCTTTCAGCCTCTGCCCTGCCTCTGCTTCCCCGGAGCCGTTCTCCACAGTCACTCTCTGTCCTTCCTCCACCTTTAGCCTCTCCACGTAGCTCTTTGTTGGCAGCTGCTTGGTGTCATGAGCTGGCCGGTCTCTGCTGATGGGCGAGGTGGGGTGGAGCTGGCAGTAATGCCCCGTGTCCGGGTCGCTGTAGCTGTTCACGGAGGGAGACGGGGAGGCACGGGTGTACCCGTGGCAGGGGGTCGAGTGGGTGCTGTGCGCAGGGTCTGGCAGGGCTTTGCTGTTGTTCCCTGGGCATAGCTGGGGCTCGCTGGACCTTCTGATGACTGGAGAGGCTGGGGCAACCCCAGCAGCTTGGCAGGTGTGTGGCTTTAGCCGTGTCACTGTAGGGAGCAGGAGAGACCCTGTTATCAGAGCCTGGAGATACGGACACACATAGGGACCATGGATACGGCAGCCCGGGGACGCGGGCCCAGGGAAAGCCCTGCTGCCTGAACGGACCCAGCCGGTCCCAGCGATGCGGCTGAGGACTGGCCCATGTCCCATCCTCAGCTCTGTCCTCTGCCAGGATGGTTTTCTTTGCCATGCAAAAAGCCAGATGGGGTTTCGCTAGCAGGGAGCGACGCAGGCCAGGTGCTGCGTGAAGTATCCAGGGCAGCAGTCCATGCCCAGGGGCTTGTCCTTACAGCACTGTCCCCCTCCCCAGACCCCTGTGTCACACCCGTGCAAAGCCCAGCCAACCCGTGTCCCTGGAGGGATGGAGGGGCGATGCCTACCCGTGCTGTAGGCAGGTGACGCTGGGTTCTCGGAG